ATCGCTTGTTCCTGGGGAGAAGAGACCGACCCCCCCGGCTCCAGCCTCCTTTCAGGCAGTTGCAGAGAGCGATGAGGGCTCCCCTCAGCCTCCTCTTCTCCAGGCTGAGCCCCCCCAGCTCCCCCAGCCGCTCCTCCCCAGCCTTGGGCTCCAGCCCCTGCCCCAGCCTCGCTGCCCTGCTCTGGCCACGCTCCAGCCCCTCCGTGGCCTTCGTGGGGTGAGGGGCCCAGCGCTGAGCACAGCATTCGAGGGGCGGCCTCACCAGTGCCCAGTACCAGAAGTGGGTTCTTCTAAAAATGTTCTGAAGTTCAGTCCTCTTCGTTCAGAGGAACCGGCAAAACCAACCTGGTCTAAAGTCCTCACTGTAGGTACTATGATGAGTTGCTGCTAGGTGTTGCAATATGACCAAGTAATTTCACAAGGAGAAGACTAAATTTATTTTGATTGAGCAGCTGATTTGAAAAACCTTAGGAAGTTAGTGAGGGTTCAGCTGCAGTGCACTCCTAGTGAAAATGTAGGGGTTGTAGGTTGATTTATTTTGTTTAATCTAAAATTCATCAATTCCTTTTGGGCTTTTTCATCTGTTTCTGAAAAATCTTTGTATTTAAGTTGATTTTAAAACATGAGAAAAGTCCAAATTTTCTTTTAAAAATACTGAATATTTTGTAATTTTTAAAGTGAGAGTTTTCTTTGGATGTTCAGATATCCAAACATTTGACTTCAGCCTTATTTCCCCAGTTTTTTCTTCTCTGAAATTGTTTATCAGCATTTAGGAATAATTCCATGCCTTCTGTGCCTGATTTGTGCTCTCTTACAAAACAGTGCTACTTACAGAGTGTTTCTTTGGGCAGATTATGAGAATATTGGGTACGATGGTGTCAAAAGCCCAACCTCTTCTCCCTTCCCTTTGCCTACAAGGATCAGGGATGGGCTTGGCGTGAAAAGCTGTCAGCAGGTTCATGTTGGCTGTTACCTATCTCAGTGCTGTGTTCTGGGCTCACAAACTCACATCTAATCCAGTATGTCCTGAAGAATTAAAAGTTAAGAGGGGCTGGTATAGAAATCTGTGGTTCCTGCTAAAGTGGGCATTGCATTTGTACTTTTTCTGGTGTGTTTTAAATCACTTCTAGATGCTCACAAACTTTCAGCTTATTGCCAGCGACTCTGATGCTGTCAGCCAATTCATCCAACATGCTCTAGGGTGAGTTTAGCCATCCCAGTGAAAACATTTCATTTAGATGAAATATCTCCAACCTGTCGTCTTCCTTGTCCAATCTGGGTTCTTCCCATTGCCATCAGGAGAAAGTAGAAGAGAAGGCGCAAACAGGCTGCTTCTTATCGCAGAGAAACATTAAACATTGTTTGCTTGTGCATCGGACAAGCTTTTTCCTCCGTCTCCTCTTACTCCTCATGCTGTTAGAGGAAAGTCTTTCCTGTTGGCCCTTTTGCATGTCCTTTGTTAGTTGTATCTGATTTTCTGCCTTGACCTTTCCGATGGTGACTCTGTGTTCTTGTGCTCTTCCTTTTATTTTCAGCTGGAGGATCGCAAGGTTGCAGAAGAGCCTGTGATTCTGCCAGATTGGTTTCTTGCTACTCTTCATGTCTTTGCTTTTCATTACTTTTTATTATTTGCTTTTTATTACGTTAGCACTTCTGCCTTAATAAGGTTTAAAAAACTGCCAGTTCTCCTGAACTCCTTTGCCCTTAAACTCTTTTCCTCTGGGATCTCACCTGCCAGTCCTCAGGGGTCACTGAAGTCTGCTTTCCTGAACTCTTGGCTTTGTTCTGCTCTTTCCTTTTTTTTTCTCCCCTTCCCCTCCCGTCCCTTCCCAGGAGCCATGGGCTCTGTCCTTTCACCATCACTGCCACCAGTGTTTCTTCACCTTCATCTTCCCCACCAGGTATCAACATCCATCAGTTGATTCCTGGAGTAAATGATACTTCATACCCGTGCTGTATTTTCCCTCAAAGTTTCTTGGAAGACTTCATAATACTAAGCGTTGCTCACAGAACCGAGCGACCATTTTAAAAGAGGGTATCAAGCAAAAGCGGATTTATTAAAATAATACACAAGTGATTGGGGAGGGGGATGCACTGCCCCCCCGAAGAATACACCTTCACAGAGGTCTGACTGACTGCCAGGGACACTGTGGTAAAGCTGGCAAATAATACTGGTAGATGCCAGGACTGATGAGAAGGCAAATATGGCTGGGTTCGAGGCGGTCCTGTTAGCCAGGGGAGAGCGGGAGCGAGCTGGGAGCTCCCCACCGCATTTCATGCAGCCTTGCATCGCTCCGTGGTGGTGGGGCTCTGTGGCAGCGATGGCTTGTCTCTGAGGTATCAAATCAAACCTGTTTCGCACCTGGAATCTCTAATAAAATATGGATTTTCTGGTGTGGGGGGGTTTGGGCAAGATTTTTTTTTTTTGGCTTGTGTTATTTTTGGAAGGGAAGCGATACCATGCACAATTACAAGGCTTGAGTAGCTGGTGAGGCAGATGATGCGGAGGGTCACAGAGCCTGCAGGGGAATGGGGAGGTGACAGTGAAATTCTGTCTTGTGCCAGGGACTGTGAAACAATCTCATCAGCCCCAAGACATTACTTTTTCCCCCCTCTATTAGAAGAGAAACTGCTTTTTGCCAAATAAGCTGCTTTGTAGACATGACCTGGTATGTTTGTTAAGCAATTAGAATGTGTTAAAAATTCAAGGACTGTTAGACACTAATAATTAATAGCTGTCCAGCGCGCATCAAGAGCCTATTGATTTTCTGCCAACTTGCCCTATTAAATACACAAGGTACAAGTTATGTAGTTAAACATGTAAGAGTTTTATAAATGCCTTTTATAGTTGGCATTCAGAAAACTTTCCATGTTGGCAGACAGGAGAGAAAAAAAAAAAAGGAAATTCAAAAAGCAAAGCTGTTTTAGCTTAAAGGATCTTTGAGATGGCAAAGTAGTTTGAGAGCAGCGTTTGAATCTTTGCTCTTGAAGCAGATGAAGAAATGTTTGGGCCAAAGGGCTGTTTTTACTGATGCCAGGTCTAGAATTTGTTTCTTTTAGCACTGTCAAAGTGTGGAGCTGCAGGTCTTTCTCACTTGGAGAAGTCAGTGGGAGGCTTTTGATTGTCTTCAGTAAGCACTGGACCAGCCACTTCATTCTCAGAAAGTGCTTCCCTCTGTCTTCTCTGCTTTAGTTAAATGCTGGGCGTCGTGTCCTAATGCCGGTGTGGCTGGAAGGCTGAATACAGCAGGTAACCTCACAGTCGCCTCCGTGGCTGGCTTCCAGGGATGATGGAGAGTGGTAAAAGAAACAGAGATCAGCTGGTCAGAAAAGAGTTTCAGGCATATATATTGGTTGATCTTGTTTTCTTGTCCAGAGCTATGTTAATCCAACAGTGCTGTTTTGGAAGACGCTGCAAAATGTGCTACTCTTCTATTAATAAATAATTCTATGAGCTGCAGTAGAATTGGTAGGGGAAAAGCGGAGGAACTTTTGTAGCATATTTTGGATAAAAGCAGGAGAAGATGGAGAGAGAACAAGGAGGTGAAAGCACAGAAATTTGTTGATTTTCTTGGGATGATACTTAAAGGCTGAATTACTCCTGTTCAATGCCCATCTAAGTGCAGCGAGGTTAGTGGGAAATTCCTCTCACCAGGGAGAGGTCTGTGCCCTTGTACGGGCCCTCTCCAGGTTGTGTTTGTCCAGGGGTGAGCATGATGGGTGCCACACCAGTTGCTTGTAATATTTCATTTGCTGGTCAGGATGCATTTTTTTTTTTCCAGATGACTTACAATGGCTTTGTAACATCCTCTCATGCTAATGAAATAAGGAATGGGGAGAAATTCCATATATTTTTCAGCTGCTTGGGTGGATTTGCGTGGGTAGGCTTTTTCCGTTTTTAAGAAAACAGAATATGGGTACAGTGGTCCTTTCCAGGTAGGCAGGGTTGGCTTCCTAACCCCGTGTGACACAAGCTGTCCCTCAGATGGAAGATCAGTGGTTTTTATCCTGCAATCTGCTTGGCTCAGAGACATTAACATTTTATCTTTATTTTTTGCATTTGGGTTTCAGTCACATGGTAGCTAGCAGATCTCGGAAGTGATGAGAAGCCCCTATTGAGTAAATCTGGGAGATTAACCCCATCCACCAGCAATGCATCTCCAGCGTACTGCAGACTTCCTAGTCTCTTCATCTAGTTTGAAGTAGTTTGCCCTCATCTGCCTTGTTACTAAAGCATTACACCAAGATTGGGTTAGAAACAAATCCTGTCTTTCTCAGGGGGGCAATTGGTACCTTTGCAGCGGAACTAAAAATGGCTTAGGACCTTCCTTTTCTAGTGCTTTGCGCAGCTGTGGTGAGAAGAGGAGGTAGAACCAGTTTTCCTTTCTTTACAGAGGTCTTTCTGGCTGCAGAGCATCATTTTAGCTTAGAAACCTTTTACCTGTGATTCAGAATGGGTATGTTAAGTTTAATATAAGCTTCAAGGTCCATTCTTCCTTCTGGGGAGACTACAGCCTGGAAGGGGAGGGGTATGAGAATGGCGATCAGCGATGACATCTCAAAGTTGTGTCAGAAGCAGGATATTGCTGAGAATTTCTTGTTGCTTTTAATATTATTAAACAATGCCAAAGTCCCCAGGGTGACAGATGGGTTCTTCCATGTATGCTACAAACGGCAGCGAATAACTCTGTCTCTTTTTCCTTCAGACATCATACAAATCCAGTGGGCACAGAGTGGCGATGGAAGATGGACCAACCTGAAAGGATCTTGCAGGAGGCTATTGAGAACCATCAGAATATGATCAAGCAGTTCAAAGGTAACTTCTCCCACTCCCTCCCTATTAATGATGCTTTTGGACGAGAACCAGCAGTAGCATCTTCAAAGCATAGATGTAAACATTCTGGTCATCTGTGAAATGCTGGGAAGGAGGCGTGAGATTTCTAATACCAGAAAGACAGGTAAGGGAGAAGAAACTTTTCTGGCACACTTACTGTTTTCTGAGACGTTCTGCCTTGTTTTTGACTTTAGAACACGAGTCAGCCGTTGGGTATCTACTGCTGCCTTGAGGGAGCAGAGCGGAGTTGCCTCTTGTGCATCTTGGTAGTTGTCGTGTCCTTTCCCTTGGTGTGCACGGAGGCTTCCGCAGGGATTAAAGCTGGCCTGGATGATGAGGAATCCTGCTTCTTATGTAAAAGTGAGGGCAGGTAGAAGGCAAAAGGAATCAACCTCTAACCTGATAGGAAATATACTGCCCAGCCTTAATCCCCTGGGAGATTTTGCGTTAGCTCTGAAACTTGTAGACTGCATTTTTCTCATTAATGAGTGAGCAGTAGCATTCAGGGTGTTGTTATTTTCAGGAATTACTCAGTACGTCTGCCTGTGACTGAAGCTGCAGTTACACAGCACCTCTGGGAAGTGCTGTATTTTGCTTCCCATAGGAACTCCTTGTGAGTTTGTTCTTTATTCGTTATGTGTCTATATATATAGATGGTTTGGGTTTTTTTCTTTCTTCCCAAACGTGATAAACTTGGTTACTCTGCCAAGGTCAGCTTTGTGTGCTGGGAGGGCTGGCCAGCTTGGCAGGACAGGTCTAGGACTCCGCTCGTCCTAACTGACAGCGGAGGCTGTGCGAGCAGCAGGAGTGGAGTGAAGCATCCATAAAATGTGCAAGATGAGCCTTAGTCTTGGCTGTCATTTTGGGAACCCGTTTGTTTATGTTGGCTGTGCAGAGAGAGAACCTAATGGATTAAAAATTTGACAGGCAAAAAAAACCCTTCTGTCAGCAGTGCGGAGTTGCTCTGTCTCGTTCGCTGGAGTTATATAATAGGCGGAAAAATAACTCAAGTTAGGGCCTCATGAGCTTCGTTTTCATCAAGTGGCTGGTTTGAATCAGCTTGCACTCAGACCAGCAGCTCCAGGGAAGACAGTTCGCTGGGAGCTCCCGCGCTGAGCTGGATAGGGAGCTGCCAGAATAACCGGACCTGCCCGCACTCTGCCTGTTGCACCCGTGTGGTCCGGTGGACTGGGTCACAGCTCTAGAGCTCATCCAGGGGAAAGCAGTGAAGGTGCTGTAGTGGGATAGGGAAAAATGATGTTAATTTGGTAGGGGAAGCTTTCCTGGGGGAAGAGGTAGTGAGATGAGGAGTCAGTGGAGGAGGTAGTTGGTGTCAGCAGTGCATCTTCCTTCAGATGAAGCAAAGCATGGCTGTCAGTGCTCAAGGCAGGGCAGTCTGTAAGGAAGCACAGGTCTCATTCCTTAGCCTCGATGTTTCTTTTGCACCGCAGCCACGTGGGCAGTGTGGGGAGAGGGCTGAGTTAAGGCAGGATGCCTGCGGCGGTGCTGCCTGACTGGCTGGGCCCGAGCTGCTGCAGGGTTTCATGGCTGCCTGGTAACTCGGCTGGTGGGATGCCGTGCCAGCACAGCAGGAGTTCGGGTACAGGTGGTTTGCAGGAGTGAAGAGCATGTAGGATGTCAAATTTTGTCTGGAAGGCTATCACAACCATAGAAGACTGTTACAGCTATCAACGAGAGTATTCATGTTTAACACTTAAGGTACTGAGCACTTTTCAAACTCTTCTCTTTTATTCAGTCTATTCTGGATAGCCAGGCTCTTAGATGAGTTGAAATGTGGCTGGGTGTGCTGAAAGGATTGTGATCGGTAGCTCGAGGTCAGTTTGGTGGCTGATAACAAGCGGAGTACTTCAGGGGTTGATCCAGGAACCCATGTTGTACAGCATCTCCATCAACAGATGACAAATACACCCTCAGCAACTTTGCAGGTGATACCAGTTTAGGGAGGGTGGCAGGCACACGCAGTGGCACAGCTTTACTTCAGTGGGACCTTGAGAAACAGGATTTTTGTGCCAACAGATGCATGTGGAGTTCAGCAAGGAGTGGAAGGTTCTGTATGAGAGTGTTATAACCCCATGTCAGTCCGTGCTGGGAGACCCACCTGCCATGGTAGAACAAGGGACAACAGACTTGGGTTTCTGTTTGGGAGGTTCAAGTTAGACATCAGAATAAGCTTGTTCAGCCGAGGTGGTGCCCAGAGAGCTGGGGCACCCTCCAACCTTGGAGGCTTTCAAGTCTGTTAAGTGAAGCCATTATCACCCCGGTCCGTCTCTGAGCAGGAGGCTGGACTAGAGACCTGCAGGAGCCCCTCCTAACCAGTCATTCTGTGACTTTTATGATTGTTAAAATTGAAAGTCTTAAACAATAACAACCCCCCTCCTTTTTATGAGGCAAGACCTGACTCAAAATCGTCATTTATATTTGCTTAGGAAGAAGGCACGTGTGGTTTAAAGCGATGACTAGATTTGCATGCAGTTGCTGATGGAGTATCGAGGGTATACTTGGGAAGGCAGGATTTGCCCTCGAGCTGTGCAGTACTGATGCAGCGTGGTGGAAGTGTTGCCCCTGTATGGCAGAAATATACGTTGCTTGCACTAAGGAGGTGAAAAGCAAGTTATTTTGCAGATGCTCAAAAGCCCTACCTTCTTCTGAAAGCTGAGTGCAAGAATCTGTTTAAACCCAACTTCAGACGAAGGAATAACCCTCTCCTCCCCTTACTACCCCTGGCGTCTTCCCAAAAAGGGTTGGCAAGAACGACAGGTTATAGATGGACTTGGCAGCATCTGAAAATATTCCCAAAGTGTTGAAAGGCCTGTAAGGACATCCTAATTCTCTCTTTTCAGAGCTTATTTATGAATTTGTTTAATGGAAAATTTTTCCTGAAACTTGCATGTACATCCTCGGCAAAGTTACCCTTGACCTGGGGCTGTGAAAGGAGAAAGACCGGAAAAAAAAAAAAAAAAGGCTCTGGACTAGGGCTGTGCTGCAAAGTGGAAAAAGAAAGGATGTGTTACTTTTTCAGAGTGATAGATGGCAACACGCTTCCTGTCTTGGGAGCCTAACAGCCAAAGGTTTATTAAGGAGAAGAGAAATCAGTAAGAAAAGCCCAGCTGCTTGCTGTTACCTTTTGTGAATTTTACATTGTCGCTTCCCTGAGGTGCATGTGAAAATATTGTTAGAGCAGAATCAGCGAAAGCAAAATTGAGTTGAAACACTGTGCGGCAAGCTGAAGCCGGGGAGAGTTAAAAGATGCGCAGTGCCTTGCAGGACAGAAGTCCCTGCGTGCCGTGCCAGAGCTGCGCTCGGTCCAGGTTTGAAGTGCCTCAGGCAGAAAACGTGGCTGTCTACTTCCAGCAAACTTAGCAGCACTCTGCAAATAGGTTAGACTTTATTATGATTGATTTTAAAAGAAAAAAACCAAACAAACCACCAAACCCCAAGGCTTGAGCTGGACTAGATTGCTTTGTTGAAGAGGAGGCCAGGTTGCGGCTGGGCTCCGGGCGCTGGCTGGGCACCCACAGGGGCTCCGGAGGAGTTTCCAGCACGGTGCTGCACACGTCGGCTGAGATGTTTGAACACTGACCCGCAACGTAGAGCGGCCCAGACTATTTGGGCTACTGGAGAAGAAAAGCACAGGGGAAAATGTCTTAGCTAGAGAGCCCTCGAGGTTGTTGAGTGTCTGGTAATGCTGCTCAGATAACACCCAAAGCTGTCCGAATAAATCGGTGCTCTCGCTAGTACCATACCACAGCTTGGCATTCAGGTACGCGCATACGGACATCTCTGTGCGCCAAAGGAAATGTGAGTTAATAGGATGCTTTATTAATGCCATGCGTTGTACTAAAAATGAGATCATCTTTGAAGGCACAGGAGAATTCTTGGGGACCCTCTATCCTAGAGGATATCCTAGAGGATAGCCCTCTATCTTGTAAGAGTCCCTACGTGTGGTTTTAGAGATGATGCTATGTCATCTTCTCTTTTATTGTTGCCATAGTTTGTACCGTTTTTGAAGACCGTAGACGTTAGTTAATGTCACATAATTTTCTTTTAGAGTAACTGATGGCGAGACATCTTACTGATGGGGAGCTAAGGTGGGAAGTTGTGAAGTCGTTTATTTGATGGATGCATTTTCTAGGTAGCAACTAGTAAATCTCTGTGCCCTTACGAAGGGCGCACACAGAACGGCAACAACGTTCAAAAACAGGAGAGTGGGAGTCTGATAATAACAGCCCTGGTTCAACTTGGGGAAAAATGAAAACATAAAAATGCATGACCTGAACTAGGAAATCCTAAGACCACCTGTGTGCCTTGCTGTAAGAGTGGCTAAAGCAGGTTCCTTGTGTCCCCAGGCACTTGTGAGGACTGGTGTACAGGTACTTGCAGAGGGGTACCCGAAGTCAACAACCAGCCTCTCTAGGGTGATGTGCCAGATGATGCTTTTCTTTCCCAAATTAAAGTGCACCAGTAGGAGAGCAGCTGGCATCAGCTTTTCAAAGGAGATGTGCTGATCGAAGGAAGCTGGGCTGCGTGCTCTGCTGAGATCGGAGCTCCGCAGGAGCTGCAAGCTGTACGCCATGCCTCTTGCAGAGGCTTCTCGAGTTCCTACAGCTCCAAGCTCCGGCACCTGTGTTGGGCCTGCTGCATGCCATACAAAACCTGCCCAGGCTCTGACTTCGCTGCAGTTCATTGACTGAAGGCAGAAGGCGGCTCATCTACGGAGCAGAGGTTGAGCGCTGCAGTGGTGTGGCAGCCAAAAGCGCAGGAGAGTTCGTGTGCTCTGTGGCATACCCACTAATCCTGCGTGGTTTATCCCTGTCTAGCTTGTGATTTACATGGTCAAATGATTGCATACAAAACCTCCGCCCTCCTCTGGAGTGTATTTACTATATGCCAGATTTGCTGTCAACTGTTTTGAGAAAGTCACTCTCAAACTTTACGTGACGTTGGAATTTTTTTCTGTCTGCTTATAAAGCTGGCATGGTAATTATCGTAGTCCAATTGCTAGATGCTGAGAGAAAGAAATCAATTAATTCCAAAAATGACTTACATTAGCTTTAGGAATACAAAAGTTAGTCCTTTAATCTCAGTGTGTGGTTGAGATGCTTCTGTCTTTTCAAATAAAGTTCTCATTTAGTACTGTCAAGGTTCTGCAGAATAACCATTAGTCCTGTCACTTATTCAGGACTGAGCCTGGCTGGTTTAAAACGCACTAAGCTTCGCTCTGATGACAAACCAGCTCTTCTACGTGAGGCTGAAGCAATATCCACAAACACCTCTTTTTATCTTGGCTTTGCAGCATAGCATGTAATTTTCTGTACTGCTTGAGCTCCAGCGTCTAGGCAACGAGAGGTGAGCTGAGGACCTGGTTTCAAACTCAAGTCTTTGGTTTTTTTTTTTTTTTTTTTTTTTAAAACAGACCAACCCCCAATCCAAAACCTCAGATATTATTCGAGTACATCAAGGCACGGCAAGGAAATGTGAAGTGACATATTTGGAACAAAAGCTTGTTTGTAGTCAGAAGATTTCATTCAGAGTCCTGAGCGCTTGGTCAGATACGGATGGGCTGGAAGAGTACGCGCCTCTCCCCTGCCCTCCCGTGGGTATAATAAATGTGACTCAGACTGGTTAAACCTGCAGATAGCGTTTTTACGTGGATGCTACAGTTGAGCTCCTTGTGTTTGCCTCTTCGTTCTGAAATGTCTCTCGCTGTTCAGGACGGTGTCATGCTTTGGGTTTTCTTTTTGACCTCGTCCTCTGCGGAGCTGCATTTCACGTGGTTGCCAGTATGGATTCAGACCTGGTTGTGGGTTCTCTGCTTGGCGAAGTGTGCCCAGCTCCTCTGGGGAGCTGGTCTTCGTGGGGCTGGGGGAGCACGGGGGTCAGCAGCAGGCACAGACATAACCTGCTCCTCTTTTTTTAAGAAGCCTGCTTGAAGTGGCATTAAACTGACTCTTGTGTTTCTGTTTCAGCATTCAGGCGGCATCACTGAGGTCTTAGCAATGGGAAGCTTGACTCAAATGTTACTAGAAAATTGCTTGCAGTAGTTAACAGGGCGCACAAGCCCCAGGTTCTGCGTGTCTGGGCGTACGCTGTTCTGTGGCTTCCTGCAGAGCTGGCTCAGTGGCCACTGGCCGAGGCCTGGTGCCCCCTCTGGTTCCCGAGGGCTCCAGCTGGTTTATGCTTAGTCTTCTCTGTGCCAGGGTGTATTTTAGGTATGGACGCATGGTTCGGGAGGAGGTTTTAGTTGATTTAAGCCTGTTTTCCCTCTTTTTGCAGGCGTGTCAGGAGTAAAAGCAGACCGCTTTGAGGAAGCGATGACGGCAAAGCACTGCGCGCTCTCGCTGGTGGGAGAGCCCATCATGTACCCGGAGATCAACCGCTTCGTGAAGCTCCTGCACCAGTGCAGCATCTCCAGTTTCCTGGTTACAAACGCACAGTTCCCAGATGAGATTAGGTAAGAGCTGGACAAAATATCTCCCTACTACAACATTTGAGTGCTGACCTGGGTTTTAATTCCATTTAACGGAGTCAGCTCTGAATGAGCACTGACAATGAAAAAGCTCGTTTGGCATCTAAATGATTTTAATCTTAATCTCCCTGTGCTTTTTCTCGTCTCTTTCTCTCCCCCAGTTTGATTTTCTTTTCTATATCTCTTAAAGTGTGGTTACTTCTGAAAGTGAAGAGAATGTAATATAGTACCTCCCGGAGGTGCGAGGGAAGGAGAACAGTGAGTGAGCTGCGTCTTGTGCTTGGGGACGTGGATAACCGGTGTGAGCGTTTCTGACAGCTAGAGCAGGAGACTGAATGTATAAATTGCCTTTTTGGTTTGTGTGCTTCTCTTGCAGTCTCAGCTTTGCTCTAACTCCATAAGACCAGCCGTAAGGGCTCAAAAAAAAAAAAATCTATACAGCCCAGCATCTCCAGCAGGACCCAGAGTGCAGGATAAGAATGGGTGAAAAGCGCACGCTCGTCTGCAAAAGCGGGATCAGTAGTTTTTAACCTCCCTTTCAGAGGGACTTGAGCTAAATAGTCACAAAGTTTTTTAATGAACTCTGACAGAATCTTTACAAATGCAAAGCATCCCTGCTTCTGATGTTCTTGAGCATCCAGGCTGCTTTTAACAAAATCTGAAGCAATGTGGCAAGGAAAGGCAGCATGCGGGGCGAGCTGCAAGGTGGCTGGGAATTTGTCAGAGCACCGTCGGCTAATAACGCCGACAAAGTCCAGCCCTGGAGTTACGTGAACGCGTTCGCGGAGCTGGACGCAGGGTGGTTTTGGTACGTCGCTCAGCTTGTCGTTTCAGCTCGATGCCTCTCCGTGTTAGCACTTTCTGGTAGAGCTGCCTTTTCGCTTCCTTCTGGTGGTCTGAATATGGCAGTGAGGGGGGAGGGCAGGCAATTTTTGAGTGAGTAATTATACACTACAAAGGCATTCCAAATGATTGAATAATTGTGTAATCAAGTTACTTTAAGTCATGTATTATGTGCCTGATAGACAGAAATTGCTCTTTCCTAAAAATAGCATTTTAAAAAGAGAGCACACACTCTATTTTGAAGCTGCATTTCTTAGGATCTGCTGAATGTTTTTAAAAAGAAACAAACAAAAAAAAGCGATAAAATGCTAGTCTTGCTGTCTTAAAAATTGCAACCGATCTTTGCCTCATCAAAGCAAATGATTTGCTTAATATGGGACTTGAGGTATGCACTTCAAGGGGAGCTGTAGTCTAAAAGTTACTCCTAAAATAGGCAGCACGACCTCCGGCATCCATTGTGCAAACGGGGAGCGTGGCCTGGGGCTGGCTCTGCCAACCCCCTGGCTGGGTCTCCAGCCCGTACCTTCCTCCCTCCTCTCCTCTTCCTCCTTTTGTATTTCAGTTGCAGCTTCGTTTGCCTCCAGGCACGCGCATGTTTTCATAAAGCGAAGGAGGTTTTCCGCAGCGCGTGAGCTCGTATTGAACAGTTACCTGGCTCTTCTCCTCCGCCTTCTCTTCTTTCTGATTAGTGGCTGTGAGCAAGAGCCCTTGCGTATGTGTCTGCATTTATGAGCATCAATAATAATAATGAGCAGATGTTTATTATTGCTCATAAGTAAATGCTCATTTTTATTATATTGTTGTTTCTGTTCTTTCTGTCATTGACGAGGCTCTGCCCGGTCTGGCTTGTGAAACCACCTCGTGGCTGGTGGCCTGAAGTCAATTTATTGCTCTGGAGTTGTGCTACGCTACTCGGTCACGATTTCTGCCCAAGTTCATATCTGGTAAATGCTGTGAATTTGATCTCCTGGATGCGATCTCAACTGTCTAAGCTAGCTTGGAAATTACAACCAAAAATTAAGGAGGAACATTGGAAAATCCATCCTAGTACCACGCAGCCAAATTTCCTGTTCGCTATGAAGCGTAGCTGTGTTCCAAGAACATCAGTTCGTGGTCTGCTTCCCCCTGGTGCTGGCTGGAGCCACGACTGCCCTTTCTCCCTGTTCCCCTTCGGCAGAGCACGCACGAGGTCGTCCTGGCTCCAGGCCCAGCTGGGGCAGAGCCCCGTGGACCGCTATGTTTTGGAGCGATGTGGGGCAGAAATCCCTCCCTGGGATCTCTTCTAATTCCTTAATTTTCTCTAGTGTAACAGTGCGTCTGGCTCTTGCCTGTCCTTAGGGTTGAGATCCTCAGAGAAGAGATGGTTTTTCTCGGCTCATGTTTTGAAAAACACTCACTGCATCCTCAGTGGGGCCCTTTTTAATTAGGCAAATGCAGCATTAAGTAGAGAAAAGAGTATTTTGGCTATGTTCTTTGAAACGGAATACTTCAGTCCACTTACGCCTAGAACATTTGGTCATTTTTTTGGAGATTGTGGCTTTGGGCTGCCAGTTGAGACAAGCTTGTTTACAAAACAGGTTTGGTTTTTATTTAAACCTAAAATGTTAAATTTTGTTCTGGGCTATTTCATTCTTCTGTCTAAATACATACAGAGCGAATATGTTTAGATAGGTTGTCGAGTGTCCACGTTAAGTGGATTTTTCTGGACAATAAGAGCTCTGCTCGGTCTCATTCTGGACAGTTCTTGTCACTTTGTCACCTTTGGGGAGGGCAGGGGGGTTGGTGTATTTTTAGGCAGCACTGTTTGGCAGCTGAACAATAGTTTCTAATTTCTTCTCATCATCTATAAAGAATCAAATCAAGCTGGGACCATAGCCTGCTCATTAACAGACGTCAGAAAAAAAACGCTCGCAAAATGCTGTCCTAAAACTGTTAAGAGCTAGAGTTACGCGGTGCAATTAGGATGCTGTCGTTTCATCCCGGAGACGCCGCGGTGGAAGGTGCCATGAGGGGTGGACGTGTGTTACGCTCGCTGGCTTTATCAGTTTTGTCTGTGACAAGGGAGCTCGTTTTAGGTTGTTCCTCTTAATGCCCTTCATTATCCCTTTGCTAATGGACTGCAGCGTTGCTGCTTCTCCTTTATACCCTTGGGGTTTATGGAAGGGATTAGACTCAACCCAGGCTCTTCACACAGCAGAGGAGGTTTAATCTTTTTAGAAGTTACCGGTGTTGGGCTCACAGATGCTGTGCTCACCGGCATTATGTGACCAGAAAGACTTACTGCAGGATTTATATGAAATAAGAGCCTTGGAAGTGGAAGGAGAACACGTTGGGGGATTGTGCTTGGGTTTATTTTCTAAACAGCTTTGATTTCCCTTCAAAAAATTATTTGATGATGCCAGTTGCAGGTCAGGTCAGTTCAATGTGTCCAGTATTAGAAAGAGGCTGAATTATGGCTGTATTTCTATTGAGTGGCATTAGTTTTCCATGGGCCAGGGCAAATAGAACTGGGGGAAGGGGCTGAGCTTTATGATTTTTAACCATGGGGGCTGTGGTGAGAAGCAGAGCCTTTCCGTGCCTCGTGTGAACCCCTGGCAGCCTGCTTTGGGAAGCCTTTCTGAACCTGTTACTGCTACACTGGAGTGAAATATGTTCCAGTTCAGTGAGGAAAAGATAATTAAAATGTCAGCCAAGGCCTCTGTATGTGACGTTCTTAGCTTTGGGGTGCATTATTTATTGAAAGCAGGTTGTAACGTCCTGCTATCAAGATGATGGTCACTTGGCAGAGATGAACCACTGGACTTTGATAGTTTTCCCTGTAAATACTGTATAGTTCCTGACGCTACTGGACCAGCGGAGCAGCTTGTTCGGGGATGCTGTATTTTGTGTGCTTTGGTAGGAAAACACAAATTCAGCTAGCAGTACTGTCTGAAAACAACAATTCCCTTCTTTTTATTTCCAAGGAACCTTGAGCCAGTAACGCAGCTGTATGTTAGCGTGGATGCCAGCACCAAAGAGAGCCTGAAGAGAATTGATCGACCCCTCTTCAAGGATTTCTGGCAGAGGTTTCTAGACAGTTTAAAGGCCTTGTCTGAAAAGGTACCCAGTTAAAAATGTATTCTTAAACATTTTTTTTTTTCTTCCTTTTGCACCTTACCTACTCAGGACAGAAGTACAAGACTTGAGAGGCTTAAGGTGGATGGTGGAGTGGGTTCTGGATGTGTTGGGAGCGTATTTACATGTTTTGTACATTAAGGTGTATAAAGTCCACCAAGTTTCATCAGTTTTCCATGTGGGGACAAACTGAATGACAAAAGGAGAGCAGAATGTGTGTCAAATGGGACAGTAAACTCGGCTGTGAATATAAGATGCTATGAGAGATGAAGAGATTATAAAATAATAGAGGATTTCCTACTGAAGCGTTTACACTGAAAGCAGGCTGCTGATGGAAAACTGGAAATTCAGGGAAGCCTAGGAAGAGTCATAAATCCCCATGTGGCACTAAGCACTGGTTCTCAAAGGTTCCCTTGAGATTGCAGTACGTAAAGGACGTTAAAGTGTGTGTGCTGGAGTTTGCTAGCTCTAGTCGCCCTCCTGCTACATAGAAATCTGCTTAATTCTGGAAGATTCACCCGAAACAGTAGATCTGAGCATAATGGCAAGGGTGACCCTTTACACTGTCAGTGGTTTGTAGTAGTTTGTGTCTGTCTGAGAGAGCTGAACAGTGACCTGAAGGCCCATGGGATCATGTCTGCTGCTGTCAGCTCAGAACTTAGCCTACTGTGTAACAGTTTTTGTAGTAATTAACGAAGCACTCGTGGTCCCAGCATCACATGAATTTATAAGAATAGTGCTTCATGAGCCTGTCTTCCCTCTCTTATTTACTGATACTGTGCTCTGATGGAAGCAAGTACTTCTGTTTACCGATTTGGCAGAAGTTGACATGTTACCTGCTGAGATGAACAGACAAGAGAGACTGTTTCATTTGAATAATGAGTTTTTCTGCCTTCCGAGATGACAATGTTGGACCATTTTCTGCCAAATGTACTTACGTTAGTAGATCTGGGAGGCTCGGTGTAATTGAGTGACACTTTCTTCTGCAAAGGCACGTGAGTAGCTTGATCAAGCTGTTTGCGTGCAAGTGTGCCGGCTGATCTTGTTAAGCAAAATCTCAGGCCAAACTCTGAGCTTACTGAAACCAGGTACAAACTTACTAACTTCTCTGTGTGCGTAGAGGAGGCTGTGGAAAGAAGGGGAGCTAAAATATGGAAGACAAAACTATTGAAAGTCTTCTGGGAACTTGCTTTTGCTCATCATTTCTTTCCTTCTGCCTCTCTTGACCCTGCATAGCTATGGTTCATTTGTTGCTGTGTTGTCAGAAATTTCCTTGCAAAGAATTGAAGGTGAAAGTATTGGCAAGTCTGTCCATACAGCTAAAAATACTCTGGTCAAGGTGAAGAGGAGAGGAAAAAGAAGCTCAACTAGCAAGTGCATTTTCTCCTCAAAGCAACCGCGCTTTGAAGGGTCCTTGAAACACTGATAACACAAGAGCCAATTAATAGTTGCTCCAGTTGGTAATACACCAATAATAAATAATGTTCTGCTAGCCCCGGCTCAGCTGTGTATTGTATCATCAGACGTAAGGGACAGCAAGAAGTCCTGGGGAAGCTGCTGTATGTTAGGTTTTTCTCTTAATCATAGAATCATTAAGGTTGGAAGAGACCTCTGAGATTGAGTCCAACCGTTACCCTAACTGCCTGGCCCACCTCTAAACCATGTCCCTAAGCACCACATCCACACGGTTTGTGAACATTTCCAGGGACTGTGATTGCACCGCTTCCCTGGGCAGGCTGTTCCGATGCCAAACCACTCTCTCCGTGAAGGAATTTTTCCTAATATCTAATCTAAACCTCCCCTGGCGCAGCTTGAGCCCATTTCCTTGTCCTATCGCAGCTCCCCCAGCCGCTCCTCCCCAGCCTTGGGCTCCAGCCCCTGCCCCAGCCTCGCTGCCCTGCTCTGGCCACGCTCCAGCCCCTCCGTGGCTGCCTTGGGGTGAGGGGCCCAGCGCTGAGCACAGCATTCGAGGGGCGGCCTCACCAGTGCCCAGCACAGGGGGACGATCCCTGCCCTGCTCCTGCTGGCCACACGATCCCTGATACAAGCCAGGATACCATTGGCCCTCTTGGCCACCTGAGCACACTGCTGGCTCATGTTCAGGCGGCTATTGACCACCACCCCCACGTCCTTTTCTGCCAAGCAGCTCTCCAGCCCCTCCTCCCCAAGCCTGTAGCATTGCATGGGGCTGCTGTTACGTTATGGTAATGTTATAGATGGTTGTGGTACCCAGAAATTCTCTTGAACTGCTGCTGGTAGAAGCACCTTTGTTTTTCTTCTGAGCGCATTGCTTGGTGTTCATGTCTGGTGCTAAGCACCATTCTGTAGGACTGTGATGAATGAAAGGTGGTAAAAGCTAATACATCTGCCGATGCTTGAGAAATACAGCCCCTGTTTCGGAATAGGTGGGGAAATGCTGATGCATTGTGTTGGGAAAGTGATGCTAATATATCTGGAAACAAAATACAAGTCCCATATTTTCACACTGCCTGACAAACCATCCAGGCTTGCTCAGTTCTCCTGAGACTGAGACAAGCTGGCGTTGCAGCTGATACGAGTCACCGCTAATAAGAATCACGGAGAGGTTTGATCTCTGCACATTTAAAAAATAAACAAAAATGGGCAAAAGGAGTTTTTAAAAACAGAAGCTGTACGTTGCTGTGCTCGCTGTTGCGTTGCTTGGCAAGTGCTGTTCCTGCACCGTTGCCCTGCTTGCCTGTGTGTCTGCGGGCTGTCCCCGGGGCTGCAGGGGTGGGTGGCTACAGACGGGTCCTGCTGCAACATGTGGATAATCCAAATAGACAAGTGGGAGAAAGGAAGAGGAGAGGACACGGTCCTAGATGGGAAAGGAGTGAGGGTGGGGGTGTTGGCTGTTCTCTTTCCTGCCACCAAAAAGCAGGCTGATTCTTGTTAAAAATAAAAATGGAAGGGCTGGAGCAAAAAGGTGAGTTTCAAACGAGTTGCCCTAGGGAGAGGTGCTTATACTGATAATGATTTTAACCGAAGTTCTGCACAAAGTTCTTGAGCCCTTAGTAAAGGAGTGAATTTAATAATGAATTGTTCCCAGTGTAGTCATACAGCATGTTGGTGACTGGTTGCTACAACATTTTCAAAAGAGGTTCAGGAATAAAAGAAAAACAATCTTTTGTGATATTTCTTTCTGCAACAAACAGCAAGAAACCCCTTCTTTGTCTGCTGCTATTTGGAGCAAGTTTTGTCCTTTCTAGGGTGATTCTGATTGAGGTGATGTTCGTGGTAAATTTTCTATGCCGAGAAACTTATCTTGAGAAAGGAGGACTTCATGTTAACCAGCAGGTAGACTCCCAGAAGGCTCAGTTTGTTTCTTCTCATGTGTCTTCTGCCCTTCGAATTAAATTGAGAGGGAAAAAAAAAAAAAGATGTTAATGTGGAATTTAGAATGTGCCCTTTCCAAACGTTACGTTTGAGAAGTTTTGTAGTCTCGTCCTCTGACAGCCTTGAGTTCATCAGGAGGATTGAGAGGTGACTTGACTTGATAGACAAGCGCTGGGACGAAGCACTAAGGATGTGAATCCTTATTCTCATCGTTAGGATGAGAAATCTCTGTTCCAGTGGTTGAAAGGCATTTCTTCCAGACATTGCTTCTTCACAATGCTATATCCAAATGAGAAATGAGGTACAAATTAATAATGAGGGTCCAGAAGCTCAGGAGGAGAGAGGTAGATTTTCCATACCTTGGAGTTTTATGATCAAGTTGATGTGTTTTTTTTTTAATTAATTAACTAAATTAAATTAACCAAACATGTCCTGTCTGAGCAAGAAAATAGGGAACCGATGTCCTTTGAGCTCTCGGCCACCAGCAGTCAGACTTGTGATCCATTTGTGTTTTGACTTTGCGCTCTGTTTCCCTCAGTGTTACTAGGCCAGATTCTGAGGGCTGAGAAACTTTGAAAACTGTTGTTCTTGTTGTTGTCGTCCATAAATCACCGAGTGATTTGGGGTTTCCCAAGCGATAGGGATGTTGACTGAGACAAATGGGAATCCCCCACTGAGCTGCTGATCAATGAAGTGGGGATGCAGTGACCTAGTATGGCAAGAGTCCTTACAGATTTCTACCCAAGCACTTTGAAAATAACTGGAGAAAAGATGGTGATGGACATGCCAGCAGAACACGCCTCGTTTGGGGTTCAACACTACATTGCAACATCTCTGAGCATGCTTTTTTCCACCTGTTGAGAGAGTAAGACAAGTCTTGAAGCAAGTGGCGGCTGCTCCGTGGATGTTCATGGTCCTGATGAGCGTTGGGGAAAAGGTCCTGGTGTGGCTCGCATGCTCTGAGGAGCACTCTTCCAACCTTGATGTGGTGTGACCTCTTCCGTCTATCTTCTTGACTTAATCATGATAAATCCTGTCCAATCTGCTTGGTACACTGTACCTTACAGTACTTGCTGTGCTGCCAGACACCAAGTAGGCATTGCTGAACTGCTTTAACTTTGAGGGGAGAGGTGCCAATGTTCTCTCAAACAGATTGGAGCCATGCACGAAGCAAACGGCGGGGAAAAACCCTTTAGGTTAATAGATGTGATGGCACTGCAGGAACTGATGATGAAGCAGAACCTTATCCTTCCTGTCCTTCCAGGAGGGTCACAAAAAGCAAAAGAAACAGCTTATTGGCACTTTCTGGAGGTCAGGTAGACTTGTGTCTTTAGACATCATATGATGTTTAGATCTTGGGTAAAACCTTGCCCTCAATTTTTTTTTTCTGCTTCAAGGGAATTAAGATTTCGTAGAGAAACAGGGTCATGGCTCTGTGGGCGATGTGTAGCAAATGTTCCCCCCCCCCCCTTTTTTTTTTCCTTTCTTTTCCTATTGAAAAAGGACCAAAAAGCAAAACTGATCGCTCTGCTTGTCCTAGGATATCACATATTTGACAGTGTGTGGATTTAGCACCTGTGGCTACGTGCTCCTGCTGGAAGGTGCTAGAGATGGTTTGTCCAGAGAAAGAC